TAACCCTATCTTTAGCACCTTTTTTGATTTGCACACACTCTACCAAGTGTATGTAGGATTGTTCCCCACCTCGACTTCCATAAAGGATTTTTTAAGAAAATACCTAGCTTTTAAAACCCTATGAGCCAAATTTGTTGTATCGTGCAATAGCATCTAACCTTGATTTGCCAGAAGGGCCATGTTAAACCTTTTTATCTCCTTAAACCCTAACCCATCTTTATTCTTTACCTTACATAGTATCTTCTATGCCATCCAATGGATACGCCAACCTTTTTTATTTCTATTTCACTAATATGAGCTCATTACCTTGTTTAACTTATGGCTTAGTCCTTTTGGAAATAGAAAGACTGACATCACATATCTTAGCATAACTCGCATCATTACCTTTATGAAAACTTCCTTCCCATCATTAGAAATCCATTTGTTGCCCCAACCTCACCCCCTTTAGCCTCGACTTTCAGAGCAACTTCAAACTCAGCATCCAATGCTTCATCTTTGTCATTTTCCTTTTTTTGCTCCTAGACTGATTCAGAGGAAGCCTCGATCTGATATTATTGATATCAATATTAGAGAGATCAAGATTAAGGTCAACAAATTTAAATTACATCTCATATTTGGTTAGCTTGAAGGCACCAAACATGTTATCCTTAGTGGCCACCTAGAGCCTGAAGAATTCATTAGAGGCTTTAAAATCCTCAACGATATTCTTTTTCAGCTCTTTTTTTTTATTTTCCCAACATCCAATTTAGACCTTAGCGTATCTATTTCAACTTGAGCATCACTAAGTTTCAGCTCAACTTACACCCTCATTTACTCTATTGAGGCTTTTTTAATATGGACGATTTCCAATTTAGCTGTCAGCTCATCAATTCTTTTCCTTTGCTCGACCTATTTTTTATAGGACGTACTGATGCTAGATCTCATGTTGCCTAAAGCATCTGAGCTTTTCTTATGCTCTTTACTCAAAACAGCCATGTTTTCCTCAACCTTGAACAAGTGGGCCATTGTGAGATAAGCGTGGTGAAAGGCTTGGCTACTATTATCAATAGGCTAAGGTGAGAGCTTTTGATGGATTGCATAAGATGAGCTAAGACTTAAACAAAAATGAAAACTAAGAATAATGAAAAAACTTAGCTAAATTTAAGCAATAATCATCGATAGGAGGGATGGTGACTTTGCAAAACCTCATCACCACATTGAGGTTCTTCATTGGATCATCAACTAGGGTGTGCTCCAGCCTCGTGCGGATCTTTTTCGAGCTGGGCCTTAACAACCTTGACTTGAGATTTTCTACGATAAAAGGCCTTGATCCTTAGCTTCTTAGCAAGATGAGTGCTGCCAATGAGAGATCCTAGTGAGCTATGGTCTTTTATTTTCTACTGACAATGGAAGGCTAAATTGACAAGCTTAGTTGTTTACCCAATGTGGGATTGATGACCTTATTTTTCCCTTGTGAAGGGGCTTCGAGTTGGATTTTTTTACTTTAGGACTTTTTAGACTAGGCTTATGTCAAAATAGGGAGAAGTTAAAGTCCTTATTGGAAGACTTTTTTGTAAAATCGAGCTAAGTGTTAGATAAAAAAATTAAATAAAACAAATATCTTACAAGGTTACCTTGCACTTACCCTACAATTTATCTTATTTATTACTTTAAAAAAGGTCAGCTCGTAGGCATCTATGATGAGCTACCCCTATGAGTGTACTCTATTATTTTGTCTTGATCTAATAAGTTCAAGATAGAGAGAGAAACTAACACATTTAAAAAATTGCCAAGCTCATTTATTATCTCTTAAGCCTTGACCTCGGTCACATCATCCATATTTGGTTTTTGTTTTTGAAGGCAAATGAAGAGTAGCTTCCAATTTTTGATAAAGCCAAGGTAGTCAGCTAATAGCTTTTTATTGGTTTGAGCTGTTATTTAATACCACCTTTATTATTGGGGTGCTTTTTAATAGAAAAAAAATTTTTTTAAGAGAGGGAGATTGGCGAAAATATCTAAGTGTTAGCAAAGAATGATAAAACCTATTATGTGCTATATAGAGTTACAGGTGAGTCAAGTGATAGTTAAGTTATAAGAATTAAAAATTGAAACAACAAAATGAAGTGGAAACCTCAGACCGACCATGAATGAATCTCAATATACATAGAGCTAATGTAGCTTTAATTTATCAATGACCCGATATGAAGAGTTCAGTATTATTATGCTATGCCCCTTTTTAAGAAAATAGAAGTTTGTCATTAGAGCACGGACATGATGAACTGAATACATGTTAGGAAGTCATTGGGATTGGCCCTATTTTTTAGTTCCCTCATCATATCTTTGAGGATCATACTGAGGTCGCAAAGAGTATACACAGAAACCTTAACTAATTTGCCCTGCCCTTAGGAATTCCCCTTCTCGACATCATCTTTCTTATTAAGAGCACCCTCTTTTTCTTGTTCCTCTCTATAACCTTTTCTTTGTCAAAGTCTTCACCCTTAGAAGACTCAAATTACTCAACAGGAGTAGGATTCTAAGATAATGTAGTGGCCAATAGCACTATAACCTCAGGGGAAGAAAAAGGAAGAGGAGACCCCTTCGGGGAAAAGCTAATGTCAACAAGAGTTGATTGAGAGGGAATAGAAGAAACAATAAGAGCATTTATGAGTGAGAGAGCAGAAAAAGAAGAAAATTGATGAAACCAAACTTCAAAAAGAGAACAGCTAAAGATGAAGAAAGGTCAACCATAGAAGATGGATCAACTTGAGAGATAAAAAAAGAAGGTGGATTATCTAGTTCAAAATCAATCTGAGCATATAGCTCTTTCGTGTTAAAGACTCATTCTCTTCTTGCCAGAGCATTCTCATCATTTCGTTGTTAACCCTCTTTAAACATAAGGTTGAGCCAATAGGCCGTCCTTTGATAGTTCTGACCTTCGATGACTGGGGAGACTAGATCATCATCGTCTTCCCAAAGCTGACCTCTTTTAGGCTTTACTCTGAAACTACTTACCTCCTTAAAACTAAAACTAGAAGACATGATGAAAAGAGAACATAATGAAGAAAATGGAGAGAGCATATGAAAAAAATAGAATTATAAGGTCAGAAAGAAGAAAGCTTCTAAAGTTAAAATTTCTAGATCGGATAGAGAGCCAAAAAGTAGAAACTTGAAAAATGAAGGCCCTAACAACCCTTTATATAGCTGTGATTTAGATCAAATAGCTGCCCAAATTATGCCATATGTCAAAGTGTTGTTGGAAGATTTTTTTTGCCTTCCTAATTCTATATTTTTTCACCCAAACAACTTATTTCCTCATTTAATGTGACCTCAACTGCCAGACCCGATTAGATCAGATGGCTTCTTGAATCGAACTTGCCCTATGAATTGATGATCGTTTGATCATCAGAACTTAAAACAATGACTTGAATCCAAACTTCTAAAAAAACATCTAAGTCCCACATCAACCAGATGAGCTGTCATCCTAATCTTAGATTATCCCGGACAAATGATACCTCGACAACTTTTAAGCTAGCTATGCACTCAACCCAAGGCACATGCGAAAGATTGGACCTCTACCAAGCCGAACTATAGTTTACGATCAATTACACAGAACATTAACCTCCATGTCGACGTTGACTATAGGAGATCGGATCTCACGTTGTCTCTTTTCACTTAGCCGACCTATATATAATAGATCAACTACATACCGAATAGTCTAATATTCAAACTACTCGATAAAGGGATAAAATATTGGAGACATTTAGTGGTCAAAAAGGTATTCTAATCTTTTCCCTCATTAGGAGCCCTTAGCAGACATTTAGGGATAATTTGGACATTTGTGCTAAGCTTACCACATCAGTTCAGCCACGTCATTATTGTCCCCTATTGGTCCCCTGCCTCTCATCCATAAATATAAACATCTAGATATTATTATGGCAAGTTTTTTCCTTACCTTAATATCCTATTTGTTTTCCTTTTGATTTTTTTTTTAATTTGTGCGTAAGAATGCAAATGTAGAAAACACTCCCTTTCTTTGAGTCTAACTGCTTTCCTTTTTTATCCTTCCATGAACACTCTCACTTTAGAACTCGACATCAACACTTTTAATTATTATTTGAACCTAAAACCTTCTTTTTTATGAAAACATGTGGATATTAAGTTTGCTACTTAGATAATTTTTTATAAAAAACATAATTTATGAAAAAATCAAAATGACACCCCCATAAAACTTGTATAGTATTTAGAGAATTCGACAAGAATTTTTATGACTTTTCCTAGATGCCACTCCTGGACCCCATAGTTTGCAACTTTCATGTGCACAAAGTTAAGAATTCGACTTTTAGATGTCCATAGAATCTATTTAATCATTTGTATAGATTTACATTTTATCAAATAACCACTAACGGCACAAAAAAAAATAATAATAAGAATAAAAAAAAAGTAAAACAAATTAAAAAGAAAGCACTTGAAATATCTTTGAACAAAACTGAACTGTTTGGCATAAACTAATTAAATGCCAATCATCAACAGATACCAAAAGTTGTTAAGATTATATATATATATATATATATATATATATATATAAAAGAATTGATTTTGATAAATCATCAATAAAATTTTTTAACTTCACAAATAAAATTAAAAGAGTGTCACATGAATCATTTTTTAATTAATTTTTTTATTTTTTAATATATTTTAAAAGATATGTACTATCATATTAATTTTGTTTGTAAAATTTAAAATTTCACTGGTTGAAATAACTTTTCGGTATAAAATGTCTAAAGTGCAATTTCATAGAAAATATAAAAATGCTTGGCAATTAGCATCCCACGAAGGCTCCAAGAATCTGCCTTTGGGCTAAGGGTATTCTAGTGATCTAAATTAATGTTACATTTCAAATCACTATTTCGCTTCCTTTTCCAACTATAAATTCAGCTTCCACTAGCCTCTTATTTCATTGCATCACCTGCAAAACAAAAGAAGGGATCTGACAAATAAAGCAAGGAAAAAAAATGAGAGAGATGGGGGCAGTAAATACAACATCAAGCATCAAACTAAGAACCAGTTCTCCATTACCTTACCTCTTTGGCAGTTTGGCTTTGGTGTTAATTTTGATAGCTGTGGCATTGGTTCTTCTGGCTTGCTCCAATAGAAAACGCTCTTCAACTTCACCATCTAATGAAGTTCAGCTCAAGCAAGAAATGGCTATGAACAGAGTTCTTGGTTCGGAACCGAAAATTGTTGTGATCATGGCTGGAAATGACAAGCCTACCTTCTTGGCAAAACCAGTCTCTTCTTCAACTTGCTGCTGTGATCAAGTTTGAAAAGATTTTGATCTTTCAAGGAATTTAGAGATATAATAGTACTCATGTCTTTTCTACTTTTTTTTCCCTCAATTTTGATTTTTTTTTTATATTTGAGGTTATTAAGATTTGAACTTTAATCACTAAAACTAAGAATTTAGTATTCTGCTAACATGTCACATGACTGTTGGCAATTTTGATTTGCTCTTAACTTAGTTGCTTTCTTATTTTTGCCATAAATAAGTTGGCGGGAACATGTAAATGCATGAGCATCAATATTTAAGAAGTAAAAAGGATTTTGGCCTAACACAAGAAAACTTTTTTTTCTCTTTTCCGTTGTTAATTTTGTTTTAATTTATATTTTAACTTAAATTATGCTAAATTTATACGGAAGAAATTAATGAATTAAACTAATTAAATGAGTTATCCATGGTTTAGTGTATGGTGCATGTTAATTCTTTTCGTGGCTATGAATGGAGAATTGAGGAATATCACTTTTGATCAATGGCTGGTCTTTATGCTTTGGAATCCAAGTACGACTATTTTTTTTTTCCTGTAAAAAACTTCATGTTCTATGAAAAGAGCTATGGTGTAGCTAAGATTTGTCTTCAGCAATGAAGGAAACATATACTGCCTTTTATGATGAATAGAGTTGAAGCTGCTAGAAACAGTGGAAGCTAATTTCAAGGTATTGGAGGCATGGCTAAATCCTAACCAAGAGTGATTTAACTATATAACAAGAAGGGCAATGCTATTTTATGGAGATTTTTTTCCATTGCAACTATGTACTCAAAATGACAGAATAATAAATAATAATTTTATTTTTTTTATTTTTATTTTTTTATGGACAATTGTGTCGTTCACTCAAAAAAAGATGGTGATTAGACGCGTTGGAATAGGTTTTGATTTATTAATTTTCAAGTTCAGATTATTTTAATTTTAAAACTTTGAGTTCATTTTGATTTGAATCATTTTAAATTTTGCTTTAGGTTACTGCTTATTCATATCATCACAGATTATCTTTTGAATTTTACTTATTTCAGATTTGATTAGTTTTGGATTAATTACAATTCAAGTTTTTCCTTTTAAGAATTTTTATAAGTTTTGGATCAAATCTGTGTTTGATTTGGATTATTGTGAATTCGAATTATTTGAAGAGTTGCTAATTCATATTGTTTAAGTTTTGATTTTTTTAATTGGGATATTTAATTTTTTCAATTAATTCAAAAACAAATTGGATTCAGTTTCCGACGAGTCTAGGCGACTTTTTGAATTTAATCGTATTTTACCACTTTATTAAAACGTCAGCCGCAAGTTCCCAATTAAAAAGTTTTCTATTTTCCTAGTCAACCATGAAATTCCATTGGACAAAAAGGCATCTAAGCATGTGACGAATACCTTTTTTTTTTTTTTTTAATGCAAAACTTTGATTAATTGCAATTTTTACCGACGAAAAGCTCTTTTCATTGTTTAGTGGACGCGGCGGCAAGGAAATACAAACAGGGTTAATGATGTTTCAGTTGAAGGAGGTTTTGATACGAAAAGAAAAGAAAAGAAAAGAAAAAAAAAGAGGGCTTTGCTTTTGGCACTGTGAATAATGGGAGACAATTGGTGATATGATTTTATTGATTGTTGAATGGTTGCTGTTGCGAGTTTCTCTTTGGTATGGATATATGCTTTTAGGATATTCTTTGGTTATCAGTTTTTCAAATGTTAATACATTACTAAGCACAACATACGGTCAAATAGGGTTAAGCCGTGAAGCCATCACAATTATGGAACCCAAATAGTGAACCAAATTTGAGAAGGGAGGCCGAATTTTACATTAAGGGGCTGAAAGAGTAAAATATAATATTATCAAAAACTTTTGGGTATAGCTCTACCGGCCTTCTAGATTTGCTTTCGAATAAGGCGTTAAAAATTGTTCTTCCCAAGGGAAACTATTAAGATGAGTGCAAAACATATTAAAAGCTATTAATATTTTTTGGTTAACATGTTGGATTGGACCACAGCTAAATTATTATTCCTTGAATAATAATTATCTGCTATATCATAAAATTAAACAAACTCCATGGCTGATTCCTTGAATAAAAGAATATGGACACCTTCTATTAGATACGGTCTAAACAAACATGGTTTAAAACAAGATTTTTAAAATAAATCAACATTTAATTTAGATGGATTAATTCCAAAGCCTAAGCTATAAAATACACAAAATTTATGTCAGAAAAGTAAAAATCTAGAAAGAAAAGGAATTCGTGAAAAAAAAAAATCAAGTGTTATAAGTACTCAAAATTTTCACTAATTGAAACCCTAAATTCTCAAGCGTTTCATCCCATGAAGCTTAGATATGAAACATCTACATAGTGGACATAATAGCTTCTTTCATTAAAAAAAAAAAAAAAAAAAGACTGTCATACTTGTTGATTCTTTAGCATAATATGCCTTATAAAAATGTATGAATCCTTGATTATATCCAATTAAAAAGGAAATTAGTTTATTCTTGAAAGAAGTAATCGAAAAATTCTTGGAAATGATGTTTGCGTCGTAAAAAAATTGATATATGAAATTTTTATGGATTTTTATAGTTTTGTATTGAAAAACATATATGTCGTCAGAGAATAGAGAATGGATAGATTAATTTGTGCAAGAACCTATTTGTTGATCAATTCAAAACTAGCTAGTTAGTCTAGAGAAGAAACTTCTAACAATTGTTTTGAAAGTGTAACTTCCATCCATGGTTTCAATTTTTTATGTTGGTTTTACTTTCAGTTCTTAATTTTTAAATTATTCGATCGAATCTTTAACCTTTTAAAGTGGTTTCTTTGATTATTTTTTTTCATATATTTTTATTTAAATTTGAGAAAAATATTCACATAACATACTAAGAGAATATCCATGTGATGTGTACCGTAAACTAAAACATTGGCGTTATGTATCCCGTATCGAAAGAGTAGGGTTTCAATCCTCCCTTCTTACAAATAAAAATAAATAAATAAAAAGAGGCTTAAAACAGTGGAGCTCGATTAATTTAAAATTTTAAAGTTTAAAAATTATATCAAAGAAAAAATAATTCTTTGTAAATATATCCGTGACTTCAAATTACAAATCGGAAGCTGCTTATAAGAACTTGAAATGACTGGCCCATAGTTGTTCTAATGTAAAGGCTCTAAGATTTGATTTTACATGGCCCAAAATGAATGTGAATAAAGTGAAATCGCAAAAGTGAATCCAAATCCATTAACTGGCGCTTAACTCAAAAATGTTGCACTTCGTGATTTTATTAACTCAAATGTGCTCAACTTGCAGGATTCCAAATTTAAAGTAGCCCAATTTCAATTCTGTTTAATTGGGTTTTGAATAAGATCCAATATAACAATTTTTTTAAAAAAAGTATAAACTAAATCCAAATGATTTAATTGATCAAATAATTAATTAAGGGTGCAGGGTGCTTGTAGTTACTGATTAAAGATAATTAAATTACTATTTAAAAATATTTCATTTAATACATTGCTGTCACAGAATCCAAGATAAAACTAATAATAATAATAATAACAATAATGCATTAATTGAATATTCTTTCGTTAAATATTACTTTTAACCGGTGTTATTAGGCACTGGCATGGTTAACATTTTTCATTAATTAATTGAATTTAATGGTAATTAAGCTATTTTGCTTTCCAAACAACAAGACTTAAACATTTAGAGATCAAGATTCGAGATTGAGAAAAATTATATGCGTTTCTCCTTAAAAAATTGCAAAAGGGACCTATAATTTTTATACATGTTTAAGTTTTAGCAAATAGTTAGGAGATATGGGACAATTGGATAGGAGAGAATAATTGTATCCTATTAAACCGAGTATTTACTCTTATTCAATTTGTAAGCTTTCCGATAACAAACTTGTAAAAGATAGTGACACTCCTATTTTTTGGATTACAGCCATTATTTTACTAGTACTTATCTACATTCATTATGTAGGAAGCCGAAATATGATAATAAGAGAAAATATTATAAATGTTAAAATTTAAAATTTAAATCTATTATATGATATATTTTTTAAAATAATTATATAAATCAACTAAATTAAATTATAAATTCACTCTTTCCTTCTTTCGTCCTCTTTCTTACCAAACATTTTTCAATTTGCATAAAAAAACTACTTTTTGGGTTTTTCACTAATGTAAAGGAGTAGAATCAATAATAATTTGATTGAAATTTCATCTCTTTCTATTATATAAAATGTATATTAATTATTCAAAAGAAGTATATTGAAATAAAGGATAAATAGCATTCAAAGCCTTAAAATTTTGAGTCAAATTTTATTTTGATTCATAATTTAAAAAAATTTTCTAATTAAATATCTAATTATCTAAAGTTATAATATTTTGATCCTTTTACTTATTGCACTGTCTAAATTGACGATAAATGTCAATTGATGCCACGTGAATCGTACATAACTAGTGCAGTTGATATCGACCATGGCAAATGAAAAAACCAAAATAGAATTTTAGCTAAAAGTTTAAAGACTAAGGCTACTACTATCTTTATCTTTTTATATTTTAGATATGTTTTATAAGATATTAAATTTAAAATAATATTTGCATATTTTTTAATTTAATATATTTTATTTCTTAAATATTTTTTCTTTCTATTAATTTAAAAAAATTATTTTTAAAATATTAAGTAAAAACTTTTAATCATTCTGAAAAATTGATTTATTAATTTAGTAATAATATTTTCCTATTAAAAAAATTATTTTGTACCTATTTTTTTAAATTTTATATTTATAAAACTAAAAAAAAAATTAAAATTGTTCTTACTGCCTCTGATCTAATAAGGGAAAACATCAAATTATTAAAAATAATATTTTTATTTTATATAAATATAAAATTTTAGTAAAATATATTCAAAATAGATTTTTTGGATATAAAATAGATTAATAAATCTAATTTTTAAAATGATATGAAATTTTTTACTTAATATTTTAAAATGATATGATGTTTTTTTTTTCATTTTTT